TAAGTGAAAAGAGTCCCCTCTACAAATGCATAGAGGCAGATCAAGGCATGTAAAGATTGTACAATGAGGGTCTCAAATAATTGGGGCCGTTGAATAATGCTGCAGTAATATGACCACACAAGTTTCTCTGTTATCCAAACCAACCCATGACAGGCATTTAGTCAGCAACTGCACATCATACATTGCAAACTAGACAGCAGGGCATATCTTATGGTCACATCTGTGTATGGTTATTGTGATAGTGCTGATCCAGCACTGTGTACTGGCTCCCACGTTTTCTCCTAATTTTTGCCAAGTCATCAATGCTTTGAAGTCTTACCTACTGCCTACCGCACATGGCACATAACAATCTTTGCACACTACATATACCACAGAAAGGTTGACTGCCCAATACCCAGATGTAGGCCAGGTTGTATGGGTCAGTGAAACAGTCCCATAGTGAAAGCACTGCGTCACCAATCTCTCCAAATAAACGTATTATCTTTTAAATGTGATGCTTTCAATTCAATTTCAATTATAATGCTTTCTTGGGATATGCATATACCTGGGGTGTGACTCCTTGAGTAATCCTGACTCTATCCTGTCCATGAGGGATTGTATTCCACCATACCATGCAACATTCCATGCAATCCTCAGCATTCTCCATGCAATGCATGACTTGTTCAAGGGGTCATCTGCAGATGAATATGCTTTCCGATACGGACTTTGAGACTTAGCCGTCATACATCGGAAAGGAAGCTTGAATCTAAGAGAAAAAAAGACGTCATCAAGGGACATGAGAATGGTTACTTAAACTTTAAGTTCATGATAGAAGCTTAGTACAGGAGTTAACTTACAAGTAAGCTTAATGCAATAAGTGCCAGTCAAGGTGCCAGTGTCAGTTGAGGTAACTTTGTATATATGGGGGAAATCAGGTTGGTGTAGTGGCTCTTTCCTCGCCTTCCACCTCTGCAATCCAGGTTCGAATCCCACCTAGATCAGCACGTGGATTGGGTTTTCAGTCCCTGCCTGACTCCGTGGGTCTTCCCTGGAATATTCATTCTGGGTTTTCCTCCCACTTCTAGAACTGAACACTTCATTTTTTTAATGATCACCTCATCCTGTAATTTGTTGGATGAACAGATATAAATTTATTAGGTTCACCTGTATTTTTAAGATGTATTTTTGCGTTGGGAGATGTTATTTTATATAATGGGTTGGCTAAGGGCAAAACCCGTCATATAAATTTACCTATATTGTTCTAAAGAGATTTGTTTACCTCTAACATCCCACGATGAAAGCATACATCAGATCTATTTAGTTCACCTTCCTTCACTCATTTTTACAGTGCCACAAAGGTACAGGACTAGAAGTCAAAATGCAGTGGATGTGTTTTACATGTTTTGACTGTTCGGACTGCCTAGGATGTTCTACTAATTTCTCATGCACACGTGTGAGAATGGTCCCTGTTCTGGACGCATTCCTTTAACAGTAGAACAGTCACACATCCATGCACATAGGAAGGGCTTGCTAACAAGGCTTTCTACTCGGAAAATATCTGAAGAAATGTGTTTGCTATAATTTGTTGCTATCCAAGTGTCCAGCATGCTGTGGTTCAAGGCGCTAGAGCTGTGCCGAATATCCCATCGATTAGCGAATATTTGAATACTACATGTATTTTCTCAAGTTGAATATTCGAATGCAAAATCCATGAAAAGAAAGGGAAAATTTTCTTTAGTTTTATATGAGAAAAATTGCACTATGGAGGCTTGTTTAAAGCGAATTAAAAAAAAATGACAGAATAATATATCGTACAAAGATTAAAAAGTACATTATTCATTAAAAATTTAAAAAGAATGAAATTTTCAAAAGGGCAGTATTGTTTGTCTGTTACATCTTGCTAAATCATGGCTGGCGATACTTCTAGAAGTGAGAAGCTGTTTTAGTGATTATAATGTACAATTGTGTGCATTAATGCAACTGATCTTGTATATGGTTTGTTCATCAACAATCTGCCGGATTCAATTCTGATATTCGATCGAATTGAAGGTCGAATATTCAAAGAGTGAATTATTCAAATTGACTTAGCCCTATAAGGTGCACCCACATTCTTGGAATAATCAGCACATCTTGGGGCACGGTCCAGCGAAACCAGGAACACATTTTGAACAGATATCATGTTACAATTTGTAACAGTTTATAAGTTGTAAACTAGAAAAATCACATCAACTCCATTTATTGTCCAGCTCACTTCCAGTTTTGAAGGGGAAAAATTGTTCACTGAATCCTGATGAAGTACATGGATTTCTTTGGTCCCTGTCCTTTTTAACACGGGTGTTTTTTAAGACTAAGATTGTTCTTTTAATACTGTTATTTTAAATTTTGTATCCAAATGTAACTATGGGGACCGAAAAATAAAATAACCAATGGGAAATACATGAAAAGGATTCCACTACCTTGTGGCTTGAATGAAAGCCTCAATGTTTCATGCTTTAGATTGTTTCTCTCTCCATACCTGTCCTCAAATGATGACTGCCAATTCACTATTAGTGTAGGCATACATTTGTTGGCCAAGGTGTATTTCCTGGTATCATGTTGTGAAGCTTGATCGTGGACTTCATGTAATTCGTTTTTGGAAAAATAATTTTCATTTGAAGAAGATGATGAGACAACATTTCTAGAAACCGTTCTTGATATGAAACATCACAGCTGTTACCATGACAGTACTGTTCTTATAAACCCCATTTGCCGAGTTCCAACCCAGTGAGCCCCAGTTGGGCGTTCCTCTTGACCTCATTGGCCTATCAGCACTACAGCAACCCAAGACATGACTGGACAAAACTGTGGGTGCTATATCAGTAAATCTCATTGTTTAAAGACATAGCTGCAGTAGCAATCTTTTATGTTCTCCTGCAGATCCCAGAGAATTCTCAGAGAATGCCTACGAACTTGCTGACACGTGCAAAGACGGACTTCCCCTCAACAAGAAATAAGCAGCACAATACAATGGCAAGCAGGGTATTAGCGTGCTTGTACCATTTAAAAACATGTTAACTGGTATACGAGTGCCTGTCTGAAGGGTAAGTCAAGCTGTGCATGTGTGCTTTATGAAGTTATCATGAATTGGTTTTCTACATTTTGTGCTGTCAGGTTGCACTTCACATGCTTTCAAGAAATTATTACACTGCGGTACGGTTTGATACGGACAAAAGTACTGGGTAAATCGAAACAATAGAACATTAATCAGGAAAATTTCCTGTCAAAACAGAGACCCATAAAAATAATTGCAAGTGGGCTTCACAATGGTGATAAGAGTTTCTCAGTACTTTAGTCGCAAAATATTTCTCCGCCTGCCAACTTGGGCTAATGAAAATGTCTTTGATGAATGCAACAGACACAAATTTGAGACACACTACAAAAAAACAGTTAAAATAACATATTTATGTCAAAAGCTTACTGATTGGCCACTTGATTGGCTGTCAAAGGGGAAAAAGGAAAAAAAAAAAGGTTTCCACCCAGGATATCTCCTGCATAACGTCAACAATTTCAGTCGCCAAGTCCGTAAAACATGCGTATTCAAATTAAATGACACAAATGTTGAACTGGTGTAACGGACAAGTTTGTATGTTAAAATCAAACTTCTTTCAGCAAACTTGTCTTACTTAGTGAAACCACCATCTGCAAGTATTCAGAGAAACCAGCGGACCTTCAAAGATTTTTAATACGTCTTGTGTGCCCTAAAAAAATTCAGTGTGATACGATATTGGTAGCGTAGCTAGGATTTTATGTGGGGGGGGGCTTTCAGTGGTATGGCTTTTGGGGGGCAAGGTTTGTTAGTCTTGTTCAATATCCATTTGTCTTTTTTTTTCAGTGGGGGGGCACTGGGAATTTGTGGGGGGGGGGAGTACATGCCTTCCCCCCTGGCTACGCCCCTGTACCACATGGAACACATGTGCGTTGGTGTTGCCGATATCCTTTGTGGTAGGCTTCCCTGTTCTCACAATGTTTCTATACATCTGCTGCTGCTGGCGTACTCCTTGCAGTAGTATGCTGCACTTTGCATGACAGTGGGGAGCACAATAGTGTGTTCTGGGTTTGCCAGCTGCTTAACTTTCCCCCCCGTTAGGCCGCTTGAGAACGGGTCCCGTGCAGAATGGCAGGGGCTGTAAGCGCATGAGGGAGAACACTAAAAATCCTTTAGGCACCTTGCTTTAATTTGAACTTAAGATTAAAAAGTTGACCTTTAAATCTACCATTGACGTTCACAGGCGAAGTGTTTTTCGGTACTGTTTTGGTAAAATCTTGCTTTATGAAACTGTTTAATGTGGCTCCTTTGTCTTAATTTTCCCTGAAGTATAGTCGAGCAGTATACATGTACATATTAAAGTTATAGTAAGATAAATTAAAGAAAGCATTTACCATGTCAGGAACCTTTACAACTGTCATGAAACATTTCCTACCAAAAAAAGACTTGAATTTGGATCTTCCATGAGATGAATGTTTCTACAATGAACTCTACAACTTTAATAGGAATAATACTCACTTCTGGGAGACACATTTAGGCAATGTGAATTGGTTGACTAGCTGATGCTCTGATACAGTTAGGGAAGCTACCTCATCAAACAGCAATAAAACTGTGACATGTGCTGTATGGTATCGAGCCCTACAGTCAGGGTAGCATAGAAGGCCAGCTAAAACAGATGTTAAAAGGATCACGTGTGATCATGAAGAAACTTGCCAATAGATTTCTGTTTACAATTGTAGATTCTGAATTTTTTCTGGATGGGTAAATAATCTTTGATTTTTCCTCTGCAGCTTCGATCAAAATAATAATTCTTTAAAAAAAAATTAAAGGAATAAATAATGCTACTGTCAGTGACGACTTTTATTCTTGCATTATGAATAGCAAATCTTGCAATTGTAATAACAAACTGATCTTGGAATCCAAGTCATGACCTACATGTACTAATAAGTTTAACATGGTTGGATAGACAAACTTGTTTTTGTTTTGTTTCAAACTGCACTTTTAAATGATTTTAGAATTTATCATGTTTACAGTCATTACTTTAGCCATAATTCTGCTCATGACATGTAGTCTTTTGAAATGGAATCCAACATTTGCTAAATAAAGAAGCAATAATTTGTTACAGAAACTCACCTCTAATCAGCAGATAGTAGATGTAATCCTGATGAGCTAACTCATGTCTTAATGAGGGATCTTCATGTAAAATGTGACGCAAAATACACAGACATGCAGGAATCATAGGGAGCTGGAGAAACAGGAGAATACGTAATACATATACGTAAGGACAAAATCTGAAATTAAACTTTTAACTTCAAAAGGATATTATCTAACACAAACTGTATTTGACACCATGTTCACAGTACAATCAAACAACAGAGGAAGAAGCATCCAATGACACCTCTAAAACCCACTGAAGTATCTGTATGTAATAGGTATACAGATGTATTTGTATATAGCCAGTGTTGGGTTTTAAAAGTTTTCATGGATATAGCTTCCCTTTTTCACCATCAGTACCATGGCAACCAGCCACAGCTTCAGACAACACCACCTATTTCAGACACAAATCCTGAAACCGGCAATTATGTATTAATCAATGAACATAGCAAACTTTGAAACGGGTAAATGTCAAATTTTCACAACTAAAATCACAAGCCACCAAATGTAGTGTTCATCACATACCATTTCCTGTCTAGTTTCATCGGCAGACATGGTTGCCTTCTTCATGCAATCCAGAACCTTATCCAGGCCACCTTGTGATAAGAAAGCTTTATGAAGAGTGCCATCTGGAGAAAAAATTAGGTTTACACTCAAATTCACATAAAAAAGGATTCTGACAAAACAAACAAAAAGTTAACTGTAATCAGGCAGAGATCTTTGACTATTCAGACTACTGAATGATAATATCCACTCACTGAATAAAATCCACTAACTAGAAAAGCACAGCTGATATGGCTCACTGCTAGATTTATACAGGTATGTGTATCACTGCTACCTTTTTGTTACAAAAAATATTGTTATGAACAACAGGGCTATGAGGATAACTCTTTGCAAAATTGGGATTAGCTAAACTTACGGCGCTTTTTATTTTTAGCTGGAATAACAATGGATGACTAACTCATTTGTAACCTGGCCTGTTTACTTCATTATTTTTCAAAATGGTAGGGTGGAAGAAATGGTAGCATTTGGTGTTCATAACATGGACAACTCCTCCAAAATAGAAGTACCCATGATTATGACTATGAACAGTTGCAACTCAATTCATTAAAAAAAAATACATATAACTTTGTATTTTGTCTGCTTCACATACAGTGATCTATTATGTTATCAGATGTGATCTTTTTCAATTTCCAAATCTGTATGGCTCTGTGACAAATATCAAATACATGTATCAACATGTACAGTGTACTTGATCAATTCCAAGGTAAATGTAGAACACAATAATTGCAGAAAAGCACAATCCTTATTCACCAACCCTCCCAATGGTAACAAATCCTCACCCTACACTAACAAGTTCCCACCTTACCCTACCTAATTTTTTATCCATCCCACCAAATCCCCACCCATACCAACAATCCCTACCCCTGCCCAGCCACAATCCCATCCCATGACCCCACCAAATCAAATCCCCACCAAAGGGTTGGGCCCAGTCAGGAAAACTTTAATTTTTGCGACAGAAGACCTACATAATAATGTATAATTATGTACATACACTGTAATACAATTAAAAACTTTGACCCATCCCATCTCACCATATCCCCACCCCATCCAGGCACACCCCATCTTCCAACCCCTACTGCACACCACCAGAGATGGGAATGGATGTTAGTTTAATTCTGGAAGAGAAGACTTTACATGTGTGCATAAAGTACATGTCCAGTGTACACACGTTTTATGTACATATATGTGTAATGTTATCAAAGACTTCATGCTCGGGTTTCAATTTCTTCATAATGTATGTCAAATAGACTTCAAGGCAATAATTCCAAATATGGTTCTGGTATTGATGAAGTACCAGACTGATACACAAAATGACACAAATATCACCCACAATGAGCCACGCAGCATTGTTATCCAGCAGCATGTGAGGTGGACATACTGGCAGAGTAAGCAAAATAGTTTCTACTGGAATTTGCACAAAACTATGGACACGGGGTGTAACAGATTCTACAAGTGTATTTAAAGAATAAACATATTATTGACATTGGCTGTACTCTCAGTCTGGTAAAAGTAATTACTTTTTTTCCTGCCCATGCACACCAGTAATCTCTTTATGCTGACAAGACAAATGCACCAATCACTGTGCATAACCTACGGAAGTCACCATGGCTTATTTTTTTGGGGGGGGTCTCAAATGATGGCTGTCACCACATTTGACGTAACATCACATGCTATACTATTTCTGAGTTATTGAGCAGTACTGGGTAACAATTAAAATAATTCTAAGGTATAAGCATACAGGGAAATTTTACTTTAATACCCATGCTATAAAATTTATGTTTAAATACTGAGTCCATACAAAACAGCATGTAACAGCCATGATACAAGGGTCAACTGTGACTAATATCCCAGCCACCAGACTGCCACTGACATTCCATCACAAACTCAATCAAATCCGGGGCCTACAACGATGTCACCCGGTGACTTCAGCCCTCAGTCTTACGTACTACTCAGACAGTAGATGGGGATCAATGATGTAGATATTTTCTGTATATTAATCCAGATACCAGCAGCAGTGCAATGGTGCCATGCTCACATGCACTTAAGGAACACCTGCATATGTTGCCATCAAAGCAATGGTGTTGGTCAATACCTTGTAAGATAATGGCAATCTGTTCCAGTGCTGATTTGCGTAGGCTCGCCTCTGTGTCTGTTGCTGTGAAGATATGAAAAACCTGATAAAGACCTTCCACCTGTCAATAAACCAAAAATACAGAACATTATCACACACATTGGCACGGCAGAGAACAACTCAGTCTAATGTTCTATACTGTATTCAATGCTCCATACCCCAAAAGGGGTGGGAATTTTGCTTCTGTTTACTGTCACCAATAGAATCTGTCTGTCAGTGTATGACAAGCAGGGTTCAATCAAACGAGTCAATTGTACCAAATGGCTAACTCTAACCAACTTCAAGAATGTGAAAACACAATGTGGTGACCTGTATTCAAAGAGGCAGCTGGAACAGACTGTCAGTGATTCCCTGAGTCTATGGCAATGGATATGTAGAGGTACCTGACACCTATTTGTTTCTATATCCATATAATGTTTGGTAAGTCTGTTGATATGGAGCATTGAACTTGGCCACTGAACACACATTGTTGTCACAAATATTGCTCTGTGGCAGGGGATATTAAAGAATATGTGGCAATGGTAAGATATGCAAATATTGTAGAAATGACTCTTAAAAGTCAGTATTTGTGGTATTTGGCTGTATTTTTTAAAAAGTAACAATACATCTTGTGTTCTTTATAAGTTAGATTTTTTTCAGTAAAAAATAATGACATCTGCTAAATGCAACAAATGCAAAAGTGCTTGACTAGCACTTTGTATTTGTTGCACTTTGCATGTTAAGCACTTGATGTCATTATATTTTTCAGTCACAATATAGTGACATCTGCAAAGTGCTTCACTATTCCGGACTTTCAAATGACCTGAAATACAGATCGTCCACTGTTCTGTACATCTAGATGGACAGCATGATCAAACAGTAGTAAGTCAGCTATGTCATTCAGTGTGTAGGTATCTACAGAAGGAAGTTTCAAGGAACTGGACGTTTCTTGTGTTAGGTAGTACATCACAGCCTTGGCTCCCTCCAAACGAACACTAAGAAAAAGTCAACATAAAGATTTAATCAATAAAAATCTTCAAACATCTCCACCATAAGGACAATATGACTAGATCCAATGATGAGAGATGTCTCAAAGATCTCGCGTTACCAAAACCTTGTATGAGAAGTGGCAGAGGGTCTTACTGAGTATTCAAGAGCAGTTGCCTTGCCTGACAATCCATTACTCTGTGTGGTCTTGTGACATCGTAAGTCACTCCTTATCTATTAAACTTGCATGATACTTGTCAGGATGAAAAGTATAGTAAATATTCAACATGTTTCAATGCTTACGCTTTTAGGATTACACTTTAAATGATCCGGAGAGCTAACATTATGGATATGATTACACAACGTAAAAAAATTTACACTTGAATAGCAACATGTTTCTCCTAATAACATCTATAAATATTGTCAAAAATCTTTCAGTTTACACCTTTGTTTCATATCACATAAAGATAGAGGGTGATGCAAGATTGCTACAGCAGGATTTAGACAACCTTCAGCAATGGGAGAATGACTGGCAATGTTAAGTCATCCGTACAGCCAAGAACAAACCCATTAAGCAGCTGTACATCATCTACAGTCACATACTAGAAGAGGCAGACTGTAAAATACCTTGGTGTTCACATCCATAAAAACCTGAGTTGGAACCAACACAATAACTACATGTACATCACCAATAAGGCAAACTCTACTAGAGCTTTCCTGCAATGCAACATCCACCTACAATCTTGGACAAAATTGTTGAGACACTTGGCAATAGCCATACACTCTCCAACCCCTTCCTCCACTCAGTGTTGTCCTATCCAGCCAAAATGCAGACCGCGTGCATAGATCCAACACTGACAGGGGGTCTGGGGGTTGGAGGCCCAACGAGCATTGCAGAGTAAATGTTTGTAGAAATGCATCATATATAATGCACCATAGCATTTTGCGGGTTATCTTTACAAAATGGATATCTTTTTAAACATAAAGTGTTCATTTGTATATGTACACACCATTAAATCGTGTGGGATTTCTGCCTTTTAGTTATTCCGTCATGTTATCGAGAAAAGCAATGATGATTCATGAAAACCGTGAAAAAAAAGGTGGGGAGAGACTCAAGTTCTTTAATATGGCTCACCGTTGGCAGTGTGCCTTATCGCGTGTACGAGTCCTATTATTTTACTGTGTGCTTTGCGTTTCGTTGGGTGAGGGCGGAAAAATGCAATCATGATAGTGCTTGTGATATTCTGAGGGTGAATTCAGCACATTTGATGGGAGGGGCATTTTACCAAAACAGTTATAAAGCAAACATACTTGTTCTTTTCAAAACATATTGGTAATTAAATGGTGAAAGCTGAATTAAGACTGCAAAATGGTTAAAAATTTACCAATTTAACAATGCACATTTATCATCAAATCTACTTGACTACAATACCAGCTTACCACTGATCTTGACAAAAGAGAAGTCGTAGAGAGCCCCTCAACTTCTCAAGATGAGACAACATTTCAAACTCTTTGGATTCAGTCCTTGAGAACGTAGGTTGCAATAATCCCACAATACAGTTTGACAGTGGGGATTTCTCACTCACAAGTGCCTATTCAAAAGACGTACACATATATCACATTAAAATGTATTTATCACCAGCAAGACTTTCATTATATTTCACATTTACAAGCAGACAGCACCTGTAAGACTGGATGTTAAATTAAGGCTTATCTACACATTATACAATGGTTGCCTGATGTGTAGGGGTCCATGGTGTTATGTACACCCAAGGGCACAAATGGCACCCAGAGTAAAGCCAAGATTGACGGGATGGATATGCAGAATAAAACTAGAACGGCAAAGCCACCATGGCTCACTGCTTGCTATGAATTTGAATTTTTCTTGTAATAACAGGAAAGAGACGTCCAAGTTATATAAATATGGACACTAAATCAAACAATACTAACAAAGCTTCATCAACATTTTTTACAAGATTGGTTGACATACGACTGCAATACAGATGTACAAGCTATTTTATTGACCTTAGCAATACAACTCATTGTACTCTAGGAGAAAAAACCTAGTCGGTGCGGTGTGCAGACTGTGTGTTGAAAGGCGCTTGTCATTTAAAAGCAAATCAACAAAGACCACCACCAAGGGAGATACAGGTACAAGGCTTCACAGTTCTTGACAGGAGAGAGGAATGCCTAAAGAATGTGGGTCCAGCTGGTACAGTCAGACTAGACCTGGATGATTATATAAGCAGTGTATTTGTGAGTTTGACGGATGGTGCATAATTAAAATTCCTCTAAAGTACTGGGTACATGTACAGCTCTGCACTTTGTATCCAACCCCATCATCCCATCCATTTGCAACTCCATATCCTCCCCATCCTCCTGTCCATCTCCTACTCTGCCCCCTCCCCATCATTCCCTTCACTTCTTACTCCACCCCTGCCCATCATCCTATCCATCTCCTACTCTGCCCCCTCCCCATCATCCTATTCATCTCCTACTCCACCCCTCCCCATCATTCCCTTCACTTCTTA